GTGGCCGCTACCGCCGGATCTAGCCGCACGGAAGGGCGCCACGGTGTGAGGGGACGTCGGGCTATACTTCACGATGGCAGGATTCGCCAGACATCGCCTGAATCAGCCGCCGCAGGTGGCGCAATGAGGAGTCGCATCAAGAGAGAGAGATGGGATGTGAGAGGGATAAGTGGGTGGGTGGGTGGGTGATGCGGCGGATCCGGTAGCCTCCGGAGCTGCGAGGTGGGAGGAGGGCAGGGGAGGGCCGGCGGCGAGGGGGAGAGGAGGGTGATGAGGCAGTTGGTGGCGGCGACTTGGGAGAGAGGAGGGGCATCGGGCTATCTGTTTCTCGCGCATCCCTCTCTCCTTCCCTGTTTTTTTTGGTATATGTCCCACGATAGGGTCAAAGAGATGTAAATCTGCATTCTGCAACACATACGTGCAACCTTTAATATGCATATCTACTATGAATTTTACAACGTATAGCTAAAATGTTGTAGAATGTGCGTTGCTTTATAAGGGGTATTCTTGTAGTGTGAAGGAGTCGTACCACGCCTCATCGCAGATCACTGCAAAAACAAAACAAAAATCAGGGGTCTAGTCGAGCAGGTCGGCGCCGGCTGGAGAAAATGAGGCAAACAACCAACAGCGGCATCTCCAGCTAAATCAAAGGAGAAATCTCTACTACCTGGTGGCTGGTGCTTGATGGATGCAAAACTGGGTGGATGGATCTCGCAGCTGGCGGACGGCCATCCTTCAACCTGGCTCGGCTTGTGAGGATGGCGGTGACGGTTGTCAGCCCGCGTGGCCTAGGCTACGGGGTGAAAACAATGTCACGACGCACGAGGACAGTGAGGCACGGGCGCTCTGGTTGGGGCTCGACAGTGTTGAGCAGCCTGGATCTGAGAGAGATGGTGCCACAGAGAGGAGATTAGTGATCACGGCGCCCAACCGTGGCCTGGGGCAAGGCCTTAACCGGCGTGCGTGGGCTGGCGGCGGCGCATGGAGAGCAGGCGACGTGCCTTGGCCGGCGGCACCTGTAGGGCTGGTGCCGTCGCGGAGGAGCGGATGTGCGAGGACCGGAGGAGGTGGGGAATGGGGTGCGGAGTGAGGAGAGGCCGGCGGCGGACACGTCTCGGCGCAGCGTGCATCCTGCTGTCCCTCGTCTCTTCCCTTGTGCGGCGGCTAGGGTTTGCGGAGGGAGATCAGCCTCGTTTGTGCGAGGGGGCTTCGCTCCCTGGTTCGTGCGATGGGTTGTCGGTCGATTTTTTTTTCTTAGGTGCGAGGGGATCGTCGAAGGTGGGAGGAGGACGAGAAAAAACCTACGAAGGTTAACCTACGAAAAACACCCGAACGAAAGTGGTGGGACGAAAATTGACCGGCGGAAACTACCAACTGCTCCATTAGGAGTAGAGAAAAACGGTTCAAAATTGAACGCATGGTTTAAGAGATAAGATGATTTGAATAAACAGCTGTACGAAAAAAGAAATTTTTAAAATGTGACAAGTGATGCGCATGCAGTGGGCCATTTTCGCAACCTGTGGTGGGAGAGAACTTTGAAAGGAGTAATCTTCAATTAATGATTTCCTCTTGTACCACTAAACGAGCATCGCCCGAAAGCCTAACTTTTTGTACCGGCTATAGCAATTTAACGCTAACCCAAAAGAACCGTTAATGACCTAATGGACTATTAGCGCTAAAATTTGAGCCCAATTCCGTGCGGCCCGGTTTCCATCTAACCTAGCCGTACCGAACCCCTCCACAGCCCAAAATCGTATTGCCATGACGGCTGGCGGCTGCGACTAAGCAGCGACGGCGACGGCTGGTTGACTCGCTCCGTCTCCCGGCGACGCCCTCGTCGCCTCCGTGCCCCGGCGACATCCTCTCTCGCGGCGTCGCCTTTCCCATCGACGGCCCCTATCCCGGCGACTCCCTCGACGCCTCCTTCCCCGACGCTCTCTCCCCCGGTGAGGGCCCGCGCCCCCTCTCCCGGCGAAGGACCTTGTACGACGCCCCCTCTCCCGCCATGACCCAGAAGACGCCATCGACAGGCAACTCTTTTGTTCTCAAATTTGTCCCTCCTATCAATTATTTCATTGATCCACTGACCACTGAGGATGTATGCATTGTAAATCTGATAAAGACAGGCTGTGTCTCTGCTCTCTCGGAGCTTGTTCTGAATAAGATTACAATTTAGGAGCTTATAATACGGTTAGGCTTGTAATGTATGTGATCTGGTTACAATATAGGCGCAGATGTCATATATGATACCCGATTCTATGATTAACTATGTTTTTGAGGCTAAACGGTAGGGGTTCTGTCTTTTCATTAACATTAAGATAAAGAATCAAGTGGTTACAGCCTAATGAGAGAGGGATAGGGGAGGTAGGGTTCCAGCAGCCAGAAGTAGCTCTGGCTTTACATCAGTTTCGGCTGAGCTTCATTATTTGGTTGAAGTTATGGAACACACTTATTTGACGCATTGTTGCTGCTTGAAAGTTTACGCCATATCTCTGGATGCTTGCAGCCAGGTTGGAGTCGACCCACGTCTCTGACGGCTTCTGCGCCCCCCAGTTTGAGGTCGTTTCATCGCTTTAAGTTCTTGCCTTTTCGATTTCTAGCCCATGATTAATCAGGATTAAAACCTGATGTTGTTGCTGTGCTGTTCTTTATGGTTTCTTGTTGGTGACCATGCAGCTCCCAGAGCCCCTGACAGGGAAAATCTGGACACTGGATGACTTCGAGGCCAGCCCTGCTTTGCTGGTCAGTGATTTTTTTTTGGTTAATCTGCGCAGTAGATGCGCAGTTCACTTTAATGACGACTGAAAAAAATAAAACGTGCATGATTTCTGTTCAGCACTCGTTACCTTCAGTTAGACTAGGGTGCAGTGGTTGTGCACTCGCAATTCACTCGTTGGCTATCTTTCTGCTCGTCCAATTGTGGGGTCCAATAGATGTTTAGTGGCAACGTTATATCAATTTACCGTTAGACATTTCCATAAAGGGAAATCTCGCCGCAACTTGTGAAAGGGACTTAAAAGGAAGATATTCGCCACGTAGCAACTCTTGCCACATCCCAGCTTAATTGAAATGTTTGACTAGCCGGTTGGTTAGTAAACATTTGTTTTTGAAGTGTCATATATCTACTCACATGTACAAACAGACACAGGCTCGTTCTTATTGTTCGCTGACTAACCAACTCATTCATCAACTTTGTCTTTCTTTCAGGTTATGTTCATATGCAATCACTGTCCGTTTGTAAAACATCTGAAAAAAGATATTGCTAAGCTCACTTCGTTTTACATCGAGGTAAGCACATTGGAAGACAACCTGAAAATTTCTTTTCAATTTGTGCTTTTAGCCTTAAATTGACATTGATACAATGCAATGTAGAAAGGACTTGCTTCTATCGCCATATCCTCAAATTCAATTGTCACATATCCCAAGGTTAGGCTTTACAACTTACAACCAGCAAGCATAAATAGCTTTTAGTTCCTTTCTATGTACTTTAACCAGGGCGTTTCTTCCAGAGAACTTAAAAGGATTTTGTCAGAAAATTCATATTACTTTAATTTATGATTAAAGCAATCCAGATAATAAAATGATTATAGTTAACTTGACTAATGTGGTGAACTAACATGCTCCCATTTCAGAAGAAACAAATAACTATGTTGAGCTTTGCAATAAAAAAAACTTATTATGTACTTTCTTTCTAATTCAGTTTTTTTTAATTGAATTGCATTACATGATGCATTTGTTAATCTGCAAACTGTCTAATCTTTGATATTATTTAAAATGACTCACTACTATCTTGGATAAATAGTACTTTTACCACAGATATATCTATGTTGTTGTTGTAGTCTCTTAACTTAATCGTTAGTTTGTCCGTCTCAGTTCAAGTTGCCGTACATATTTGTAAGGATTGCTGTAGTAAACATTCAGTTAGGGAGATGCTTCGTTTTGTTCTTTGCTTGTTGGAGTTATGTATTGTGATGCTTTTTGTCTAGCTCTGTGCAGGTGTTTTTACATTAAAATCCCTGAACGATTTTGTGCTATCAAAGTAGGTGGATTGGTCTGTGGTGCTCACTAAACCTGCTATTGGACATGTTATTCCAATATGGTTGATGCAACTTGTCATGTTTTCCCCTTCGTACACAAATTAATCTTGTGACTCTGCAGGATGGTCCCGAGTACATGGCTGAGGAGGCAAAATTGTTTAAGTACTCTTTTCCTTATTTGTATGATGAGGTCTGCCCACTATATTTGCTTCCTGATGCAGTCCCTGTGATCTCTCCAACTCTTTGCTTACTTTTGATTGTTACTACTGGACCTTGCAGTCCCAAGAAGTTGCTAAGGCTTTTCGAGCAGTCTGCACACCAGAGTTCTTCTTGTTCAAAAAGGTAACACCATCAACTCGGATGTTCATGATTTATGAATTCATGAGGCTTATATGTCCAGTGTCTTGGCTTTCTTGTATCACGTTGTGCCTGATTTCTTGTTTTATCTAAACTTTGTGCCAGGATGAGCAAAGGAAATTTGAACTTTTTTACCACGGGCAGTTTGATGATTCAAGACCCAGTAACAATGTGCCAGTCACTGGAAGGTACATATTGTAAAACCGATGCACAAACACTCCACGTTACCCTGTGCTCTTACTCATTTTCAATTTGTAGGGATTTAAGCCGTGCAATCGACTGTGTACTTAGTGGCCAAGAATTGCCTTTCTACCAAAAACAAAGGTATGTCTAGTCAAGTAGAGTCTGAGCATGTTTTCACATGTCTTCGATTCACTTTGTTTGTTTCCAAAAAATTGTTTTCTGTTCCTGTAGTGTCGGATGCAGCATCAAGTGGCACAAGTGAACTCAAACCAGTAATATCATCAGCAATTGGACAAGAAGCTGAGCAACTGAGCAAGCAGTACTTCCGTGCAAACTTTCTCAGCTCATCGGCTTAAAATTTGGAATAGACTTAGCTAGTGTACTTTTTTTGTACAATGAATGAAAGAAATTTGTCCATCTTATTCTATTAAACTGAAACACCTAATACAAGTACACTGTTACACCTTATACTGGATGTTTGCTTTGTTCATAGATATTTCAAAAGCAAATGAAATTTACACATGTATAAAGTAATAATATCTGTAGAAATCATTGAACCAGTACTCGCCGTATAGTCCCTGGGGACGCCCTGGATAGAAGATGACGGTGAGTCATGATGTTGTGGGCCTGTGTGAGGCCGTGGTCCTCGGTGGCGTCGATCTTGATGAGCACCACCTCCAGGGTGAAACTCCATTGTACCTAGCAAACTGTTCTAGACATGCAGCAGAGGCAGGATAGTATGGTCTTGGTTGAGGACATAGGATGAGGAGGTGCGCGCAGATGAAGAAGACAGTGCCATGGGATGCACGTCCATGGCAACCGCCCTCCTTGGTGGTGGATCGTGTGCAAGGGGGAGGGGCGAGAACGAGGGAAGCGGCACCTCTGGTTGCGGTGACTGCCGGAAAAGATGGCAGACGGAGGCATGTGTGAAGATGGCAGACGGAGGCATGTGTGAAGATGGGAGCCGATAGATAGTTTGGGTTTGTGTGAAGATACCTTTTGGGGGACCTTTCCCGGTCAGTTCTCGTGCGTATTGGTTTCAGGGTTTTTCTGCAACTGTGTGTGCGAAGGGTGATGAAAAAAGCCCAACAAAGGGGAGCAGGTGTATGAACCGGCGAAGGAAGATTCCCTCAAAAAAAAACCGGCGAAGGAAGATTGTCAGAGGAAGGAGGACGTAAGAGAGGAAATGGAATGTTTCGTTTTTTGAGGTAGTATATATAGAGATAGAGATAATGAACTCAAAATCTCAAACACTTGCATGTCTAACTTCACAACATAGAATGAACCTAAACATATCTTAAAATTCATATATTGAGTTCTGTTTTGAACTTCATAAGTATTTTTTTTAACTATTGTTCACTTCCAAGCCATTTCGTGACTCCATAGTGTCGGTCCCTGTATTTTCTACACTAAATTAGTTTTTTCTAGGGCTCTACACTTTGTAGCCACTATTACCAACAATGTATCTTGGTGAGGACTAGGTCGCTAGAAAAGATGATTCCTTCGTAGCGGGAGGTGGGCCTTTTACCTTCAGCGAGCACCCTATGTTGGGCCTTTTACCTTTAGCGAGCACCCTCCAAGCATCAAGTAGAGGAGGTGGGGTGTCAAGAGTAGCATCCAGTATTGGAGTCTTTTGCTGTCAGGGGAGGCACTTTCATTACTTACATTAGCTGAGGATCTGAATATTAATACGACAAATATTGTTTTGTTCCAGAATTTTACCTTTTTGTTTCAACAATGTGCCCCCCCCCTTCAATTTCCCATATGTCGACCTCCGATACTTGACAATTTTGTGATGAACCAAAAAACACGAGTCACTTTTGGACCGATAATAATAATAGGTCTATGCGCCGAACAAGCCACGGTATATTAGAGATAGTAAGGAGTTGTATACACGGGGGTATGCATTCATGTCACGCTTTCTGTGTGATAAGAGGTTGCTAGCTAGCAAGTATAGAAACAGGAGATATGCGTAGTTAACAGAAGCAAGGGAATATGCGTGAGTTGATTTGAGTTTTTTTTAGTTGACACCGAAAAAGCAATTTCATCTCAAGGGAAAATGCATTGCATTTTTAAGGGATTGCCAAGCTAGGCTAGGGATCGTCCGCGGGTATCAGGAATATCGTATTTATCTCTTCTAATCTAGATCCCACTTCCCTCCACTTCTTGCCTCACGCCCGTCCTGACTCCACATTAACGACTGTCCTTCCACCTAATTCCCCGCACCCTTGCATCACATCTCCAACCCCTGCCTCCACGCGATCTTCCACAATCGTACCCCCCACCTCTGAAGCTTGCCCCCGACGAACCTGTCTGCACCTGCGGGCCCGCGCTTACATCATTGGCATCGCATGATTAAACATCAACACGCGCACTTCCCTCCGTTTTCGATGCCGACAGGGGGCTGCTAGGGGGGTGTAAAGTTTCGTTTCGGTCGTGTCAGACGACATGCAGGGGGGCAATGGCTGCCAACGGAATCTATAATAATTCGATACTAGGTCAATTGTACCATCGGACTTGTAAGAACATGTAAAATGTACCACATGAGGTTGTACCAGCTGTGTGCAGTCCTCCGGCACGGGTTAAGTGTCCTGCATAGATCTTCCCCTCTCTCCCAAAGAAGAGATGTTCGCTTCATAGCCTTCTCTTCCGAGATAAACCCTACAAAGGATCCTAATCGTGCTAGCCTTTCATGGACTCTTCTTGGATTTCCTTTCAGCTGCGCCCAGCACCTCTCTAGTTTCTCTACGAGATGGAGATGGCTCATTCTCTAGTTTTCCTATGAGATATAAGTAAGTTTCTATCGTACTTTGAAGTTCAGGAAGGAGTTATTAATTAAGACGAAGAAGAACTGGGTGGGGATATGCCTTTCCCATAACAATAGAAAGAATCCAAGCCAATATACACTACACTATCACTATAGAGTTTTCGCCTACCTATGAAAAGTGAGATGAGAGCTTTGTGCTAATAATTTATTATAAAGGTGTACCTATCGACCCCAGGTAATTAATGCCCTATCCTTCTACTTAAAAAAATGTTACGTTAGACTTGACCAACTGTTAATACCAATCCGGCAGCAATAACTACTACTAATGCATATTCATATCCCACTAGTAGACTTAGCAGACTGTGACCTAGCCAGTCTATTTATTGACAACAGACCAGTACTACCCATCAATGACACAAAGACCATAGACGACCTCTATTTCGTGGAATAAACGAATTCCTAGTCGAGCCCTATACTTACCTGCTTGTACGGTCAATGCCCTAGTAGACATCAACTTGTTCATAAACTCCAGCCTTATCTACGCTGCTTTACCCGACCCAGGTGACCTACTTTCTCAGATGAGAGATTCGGCGGAGTAGTAGGAAGTCCCTGTGGAGAACTAGAAGACAAAACGAATATAGCGGACCAAGCAATGAATGACCTAGCCTAGGTAGTCCTATGTTTGACCAATGTTGCCTTGTATGTCTTGATCCAAGATTTCTCAGCAAAAAAAGACATGGGATTATTGATCAATTCACCATCCTCTTCATCTGAGTGTGCTTCCACTTTATCGTTTGTGGCATGTGCATTATGCAACAAGTAGATTCCTGATAAATGAACCTTCTCCACCCCTTTCCTATCCAACGCGGAGCGGCAGAACTACTCGTCTGCAAAGTGGGAAAGCTCCCTCCCTCCTACCTAGGTGTACCTCTTCATTGGAGCAAACCATCCAGCAACTTCTTAAATTTAGAATTCCCTTCTAAGCTGGCTATAACCATCCTTATTGACCAGAAAGGAATTGAGAAAGGAGATGCTATAACCAGACCATAGACAGCGTTTCCACATTCACTTTTGAACTTAGGGAAACAGTGAAAGAAGCCCTCGTTCCCGCTCTTCTTTCCCCTGACTTACCCTTAGAAGGAAAGTAGGGGCCTCGGTTTCTGCAAAGAAACCTACACCAGTGAATTTCTTTTTCGTAGGTGATCCTGCTCCCAATCGCAGATTTGAATAATCAAGTCGGTATGGGGCTGCTCCCTTTTGTTACTCCGAAAATCTTGGCTTCGCTTGGACATATCTTCGAGGACCTGGGCGATTTTGATCCGTTTCTCCGCGCTCGCCGTTTCAAGGTGAAGATCCGAGTAAGTAGAGCGTAATAGGCGATCCGCCGGGTACCTATTTCGACAGGACTTAAGAACCGTTTTAATGCGTTTCCTTAAGAAATCAATAGATGGTGCTTCAGGAAAAAGGGTTCGGCGGGGTGTGGCTTGTGGATGGCTCTGACCTCAACTCCTCTTTTCCATCGGCGTCTCTCCGTCCCACTTTGTTTTTTCTTGGATCATCATCTCCTGGCGTAGCGGAAGCACTCGACAAGGCCTCTACGACAGAAGAGATTCTTGCCCGTTTCTGCCCGGACGATTCCATAAATGAAATACAAAGAAAAGTGCAGAGGAAAACGCATAACCAGAAGAAAAAGATATCGTGATGTAAAATGATCATGGGACACATTGTTTTGAGGACCACAATTTCCTGCACTGTGCCTGTAGTGATTTCAGAATTCGGCAACTTAGCCTACTAAAAGATCAGTTACAAGAGCACAATGCTTTTTGTGGCTTCCTGCTCGGCAGAGAAGCCACGCTGCCGGGGCGGCCCTGTCACCCGGAGAAGATTTCTTTTCTTTGCTGATTCCTCTCAATGAAATTTGCCATGTTGCACTAAGTTACCATAGCTTGTTCAACATGGATAACAACGTTACATGTATTTTACCGGAGCACATGTGGAGCTTAAATGGCTGCAAATAGTGCGGCCCATTTGCACCTGTTTGTTTTCAAAATTTATTTAAAAACGGAATTAATAAAAATTATGTTCAAATATTTGTGAGATAGATATTATATATACAAACTATTATTAATAAATAAAAATATATAAATATATATCGGTGTAATATATAAAAAATATTTACTTAATATGGAAATTTAATAAAATTTAAAAGGTTTATGAAATAAAAAAGTTTAATGAATAAATAAATATTATACACACACAGCTTATATTTAAATTATTAAAAATATGGACAGGCGGGACACACTTCTCATAGAGGTGGAAGACTGTAACCCCTCCCACGTGAACAAGAGCTTTTTTGTGTGCAAACTGTCACCCCTCCCATGCGCCCCCTTCTCCCGGTCCAGAGGCTGATTCCATATACAAACGAGATAAGCATTGTATTTGCACGTCAAAATCAAGTTTTTGCATCACTTCGATGTACAACACAAGTTATATCA